CCAAACACATGAACTAAGAGAATATTTCCTCAGGTTCAAATAAATATCCACATAACCCGGACAAATATCAAAATATATTAAATAAATATCATGTGGTTAGTAAAAAGTATTACAACTAGGAAAGACAAGTATCCACAACACACTAACTAATATCTTGCATTTGAACCCTAACCCTAAACCCTAAACTCTAAACTCTAAAACCTTAATCACTAAACACTAAAAAATAAAACTATTATTGTTTGCCCTAGCCGATAATATTCAAATGTTCCAAATAAATATCCAAACACATGAACTAAGTGAATACTTCCTCAGGTTCAAATAAATATCCACATAACCCGGACAACTATCAAGATATATTAAATAAATATCTTGTGGTTAGTAAAAAGTATTACAACTAGGAAAGACAAGTATCCACAACACACTAACTAATATCTTACATTTGAACCCTAACCCTAAACTCTAAAACCCTAATCACTAAACACTAAAAAATAAAACTATTATTGTTTGCCCTAACCTATAATATTCAAAGGTTCCACACAAATATCCAAACACATGAACTAAGGGAATATTTCCTCATGTTCAAATAAATATCCACATAACCCGGATAAATATCAAAATATATTAAATAAATATCCTGTGGTTAGTAAAAAGTATTACAACTAGGAAAGACAAGTATCCACAACACACTAACTAATATCTTACATTTGAACCCTAACCCTAAACCCTAAACTCTAAACTCTAAAATCCTAATCACTAAACACTAAAAAATAAAACTATTACTGTTTTCCCATGCCTAGAATATTCAAAGGTTCAACACAAATATCCAAACACATGAACTAAAGAAATATTTCCGCAGGTTCAAATAAACGTCCCTTCTATCTAATATTACCTACTTTATTCGTATTATCATACGTCAGCTAAATTGTTACGACATATAACATAGAAGTATATATCGATTTGTTGAAACATTAAACGTCCCTTCTATCTAATATGACCTACTTTGTAGAAGTTGTTAATTTTTCAACAAGAAACCCTAACCCCGAACTCTAAACAATGGACACTACTAAATAAACTGTAAAAACAATATAATCAGGAAAGAATAGATATTCATACTGACTAGACTAAACCTTAAACCCTAAAAGAGAACCCAAACCCTAATGTGGAAACCTTAACCCTAAGCTCTATACCGTAAACTCTAAACAAAACCTAAACCCTAAACCCTAAAAAATAAACTATAAACAAAAAAACTAATATTATTTAATGTTCCTTCGGCCCATGGGCCCTCGGCGGGCAGCCCTAACTAAGGTTGCAAGCCTTATTTGTTAGGACTTGATAGTGTGTTTAATTTGATGTAAGACACAATATTCCAATCCTTTACAAATTGAAAATAAGAACCCTAAACCCTAAAACTTAAACTCTAAATTGGTGTAATCAGTTTATGGTGGCGGATACAATTTTGGGCCGCCGTTAAACATTATTTTAATGATGGATATTGACTTGCAAAGGAAGAATACTAGTTCATTTCAACAATGATGCAAAGAAATATCAACATAGCAGAAAATAATATCGACTGAGAACAAATAAATATCCACACAAACATACATACATAAATATCACATGGGGCCCATAATTTTCGTTCTCTTTCAACTCCTCTCCATTCTCCCGCCCAAACTCAAGTCGGGCCCACAACGCCCCACTACGCCCCATGCTCGCTCGCCTTCTGCGCCGACGCTGGGCCGGAAATTTTACCGAAGCCCATCTCCAGCTCACTTAAGTGAGCCACCACGATGCCTCTCTCCTCCGTTAGATGAAACATGGGCCGACGTGGCCCAAAATCCGGCCCTGTTAGTATCTGCTAACCCTTTAAGCAGTTAGCATATTAACTTCGGGGGGAGTTTGCGAATCGAAGAGAAATGAGAAGCTTTTGGGCGGTTGGAACTTTGAATGCGGATGAAGGAGATTCCCCAGCCGCCGAGTGCAATTGGAGTTGGAACTTGGAATTTGGAACTTGGAAGTGAGGCTGACTTTCTATTTTCTGGATAAGCTACCAGCACCAATATCTTTCCCATGTTTTTTTAAGGGTGAATTGCATTTACTGACTTAATTATGGGATTGGTATCGCCCTAAAATTCCTTATTCGTCGTCCTAATTAGGTTAATTTTACTTAAATATTTTTAGTTCATTTATTTGTAGTTTAAACACCTAAACCCAAATCAAAATTAAAATTATCGGAAGTGTTGATATATGTGTACTAGCTTTCATCTGTCATGGACTTACATTAGGCCGACTCCAATACGGCCTACATTTATGGGATTCTCACCATTAATGGCGATTTTGGAGCTCCAACGCAGAGCCAAAAATAGCGAAGATTGGCATTTATGGAGGGCATCGGTAATTGTATCGCTAAATATGGGGGAGGTAATGCCGAACTCGGCATTTATAGGGACTAGAAGCACGGCTGGGCGGGACAACTGCCAGTGCTGGGCAGTGCGCCGCACGCGCAAAACAAAATTAAAATTACCGAAAGTGTTGGTATATGGTGTACTGCCTTTCATCTGCCATGGGCTTACATTAGGCTGACTCCAATGCAGCCTGCATTTATGGGGTGCTCGCCATTAATGACGATTTTGGAGCTCCAACGCGGAGCCAAAAATGGGAAGATCGGCATTTATGGAAGGCATCGGCAATTGCGTCGCTAAATATTGGGGAGGGAATGCCGAACTTGGCATTTATGGGGAATGGAAGCACGGTTGGGCCGGCTCTCCCTTGCGTGTGTGGCGCACCGCCCAACGCTGGTGTTGTTCAGCCCAACAGCGCTTAATTTTTTTTGTTTAATTGCTTGCTAATTAATATAATTAATTAAGGGAAGAAAGGAAAGGTGTTAATTAAGGGGATGTGAATTAAGGGAATGTGAATTCTTGTTTTGTATTTTATTTAGGCTTCTTTAATTTGGATTTAATTTGTTATTAATATTTTGTTTAATTTATTTTATTTGATAAGATTACTTAAATAGAATTCATTTTATTTAAAATGTATTTTTATCATCTTAAAGTTGTGTGTAAATAAAAACTAGACCGAACTAAGAATGGAAAATATATTATTGAAATGAAAATGAGTTCTTGAAATACAAAACAAATTGTCACCAACTACAACTTTATTTGAATTACAAAGCATCTGAACATCGATACCAAGCAAAACAATGACTAATTATTTCCATGCATGTTCCAAATATGCTCGACAAAGTCCTAACGAAGCCCATGATGTGTTGGTGCAGCACGAAGCCTAGTATTCCTGGTCAAGTACTCAGTTAGGATTGGAATATCTCTGTCGGCATTAGTTGGTTGTTGTATCATTTGAACTATTATTTTTGGCCTTATGTGTGTAAACCCAACTTAGGCCAATCATTTTTTCCCCAAAAAAATGTGGTCTCGGAATTTGACAAAATTCTATCGAAAATTGTGTATTTAAAAATGATGACGAACTATACAAAAATTAGCATGAAAAAATTGTATTAAGATGATAATATGTATATTTTTAAGTAAACAAAAACTAGAAATAAGGAAGATCCCCCAAATTTGGGGATGGTAGCATTGGAGCCAAATTGAAGTAAATGGGGACAATCCCAAAATTTGGGGATGAAGGTACCCAAATTTGGGGTCTTTCATTGAAGTTGGCCTTACCTACTTGCTTGTAGAGAGGGCAAGTGTTGATTGCGACATTTTTATTGGCTCTTTTGTGCTTATAGTGAAGTCATTTTTCCTCATCTCTGTTGTGTGTTGAAAGTCATATTTCAGAACTCTTTGGCATACTTAAGTTTGTTGTTAGATTTCGGGTTCGCAACAATGTAAAGCACTCGATTGCTTGCTCGCATGGTCTCTCTTGCTTGCACTGGAATTACTAAATAATTTCACGTTTGCCACTAAAATTATTTTATTCTATTCGTAGTCACTAAGATTAATCCAACAGTTCAAGTTTGATAACTCTCTGTTAGTCTCCGGTAACTTATCTGACGTGGCAGTCAACTCTGAAAGTTGATCGTTAAATAAGTGAGAGGCAATTAATAATTAATAAAATTTGATCTTTTAAAAATTCCACCTCGTTCTCACAACTAATTAAAGAATAAAATTTAATCTTTTAAAGAAGGTGGGTGGGGACTGGTGAGGTACGAACCAAAAACCAGTTTCCGGTGCTTTTTGTGGCAGGTGAGCTCGAAGAAACGAATCCCCGATGGCTGCAACCCAACGGTTTTTTTCCGGTGCTCGGAGGAGATCACTGATTCTTCATCTTCCCCTTTTCCATTGATGCCAAAAGAAAAAATCACTAGCTACTACCTTCCAAAAGAGCCAATAAAAATGTCGCAATCCCTCTCTCTTTTATTATAAATTTGGGCATTAAGCAATCGGCGAACTTTTGGAGTGGTGTGGCGGTGACGGCGCGACATCACTGGTTCGAGCAATCTGCTTTTCCAGGGTATGGAGATGTAGAATATTAATGAGCTTGAAGATCGGTTTTCCCCAATTTTCTCTTCTCCGAAACCTCATATAGTATCAGAGCAAGCGGTGGGGATTTAGGGTTCTTCATCATTGATTCGTCCCATCTATCAGCGATTCCCTTATCATGGCTCCTGATATCAACGACGAGGGTGGCGGCAGAATCACTAGACATGAAAATCAATTTTCTCCGTTCTTCTCTTTGCTATTTGAAACTTCATATACAGTTTTTTGTTTGGCAAAATTCATTTGTGTAGCGGTAGCCATAACTTTGACGTTTGTGGCAATAATAGCTATTTTTGGGGAAATACTAATATTAGTCATAATTTTAAAAGTTTGATGACAATAATAGCCATTTCCGTTACATAATTTAACGGTGTCAGTGGCACAATTAGTCAAATTAACAAAATGCTGACCTGGCTGCTAACTCACCTTCTCTCTCATTTCCACCTCAGCATTCACTGACCGGTGGACGACACGCCATATAGAAGAAAATTGTTTTTCTCGTCCCTAATTTTCTCGAACCCTCTTCTTCTCCTCCAGCAACCCACCGCCCCTCCTCTCATCATCAATCACCATTAATCTGCTTCCAAGACACCTCTTCTTCTCTCCTAGCAACCCACCACCACTGCTCCCATCGCGATCACTATTAATCAACTGCAAATAATCCGCCACCCTGACAGTGAATAGAGAGAGAGGAGGTTGAGGCGGCAACAACTCCAACCATTTTTCTAAGGCAGTGTTCGATCCCAGCCTCTCGATAACTGACCACAATTCGAGCTGCCGTCGTCGCCTTTGCATAACTCTTCTTCCCATCTGATTTCGGGCCGCTGTCGTCTTTACCAGGGACAGAGGAATCCAGGCTAATCAATTTCGGCAACAAAAACAACGCCGGTGAAGGAGACGAAGCGGCATGGAAGTGTCAAGTGAAGTCGGAGATGTAAATCTGTTTATTGTAGATTTGGCCCTCGATTTTAATGGAAACTTCACATCTGGCCCTTGATTCTAATTGGATTTTTCATATCTGGCGCTCAATTCTCCTTCGATGTCGTCCAACGCTCAATTCCCTTCTGATGCCAGGCCGGAGCTGCCGGAGCCATCACTGGCCACGTACGCCCGAGAAACGGATTGTTCACAAGTTTTGCCACCAATCGAGAGCTGGAAGTCGTTGGAGAAGTCACCATCGCCGTCCTTTAGAAGATCTTCCCACAACAGAATCTATATGCAACATCGACCCGTCCATAAGAAAAGGGGGTTTCGCGGCGGTGGGTTCGTCGATCCGGATGGGTTCGTCTCTCGACGGAGAAAGTGGGTTCGTTCGTCTAGATATAATGAAAGGTCGTCGCTCATCATGGTCGGAAGATCCTGGATCTTCGATCTCTTGCTCCTCGTCGAGTAAAACCACCAGGAACGATAGCTCCGCAACGTTCGCCTCCTCCTCAGAGAGGACCAACACGACCATCGATTCAATAGGGGGAGATTCTAAGGTTGGGATTGCGATGAAGATGAGGGATTTTCAGAGATTGCGATGGCAGAGGGATTTTCGGTGGAGAGAAGGATTTTTTTATTGTTTCTACTGTCACGAGAAGTGTTTATTATTTTTTATTTAATTTGATCAAAATAAAGGATAAAATATTGATTATTTTCCAACTAATATTATTTTTGAATAAAATATGCAATGTCATCCGTTGTTGTTAATCCAATCAGCACGTTAACCAACATAGTCAAACAATCGGATGGAAGTGACTATTTTTGGTATTTCGCCAAACTATCAAAGTTTTGGCTACACATGTGTATTTTTTAGCTTATTGTGATAATGAGGTGAAATTTTTATTTATTTTATTATTTTTAAATTGCCACGTCACTTATTTAATGGTCAACTCTCAGGATTGATTGTCACGTCAGATAAAGTTAACAGAGAGCGACTTGAACTTTTAAACTAATATTAGTGACTACGAATGAGATAAAATAATTTCAGTAGCAAACATGAAACTATTAAGAAAAGCTAAACAGTTTTGTAAAAAAAAAAAAACTAAACAGTCGAATTTCACATATCATGTGGTCCAAAGCTGTAAATTGGGTAATTAACTAATAAACACGATATCACCCTAACCGACCATGTGATGCAAACAGAGTTAATAGTTTAAATAGACCTTGACAAATGTGTTGTAAAAAATTAATCAACTGAAGTGAAAATAAAGGTAATTAAACGAACTTCCCTTCCCAACTGGAGTTGGACGATCCCCGGATGAAGATGAAAACTAAACTACACATTCGATCTTGTTGTTGCTTCTACTTACCATTTAATTCTCGAGTTCTTTCAATTATGATGAGTAGGCAGACTCTAGGAGAGACGATGGGTAGGTGATGGAGAAGACAAACCTGGATAAGAGTTGCGGAAGCGGAGGACGCGATGAAGAACGATTTAAGGTGTCGTTTTGAAGTTGTTATTGTGAGTGTTGTATTTATAGAATATACGCATTGTCCATAATACAATGTTTGGAATTGTCAAAGTGTGAAACAATGCATGTATTGTTTTGTGTGGGTCCCACCTACTATCACAAAAAATGAGGTATTATACAATCTTAACTAAAAGTTGAGATTGTTGTGATTGTTGTTTTTAGGTTTCTATCTCATTTTTATTTCCATTTATATCCCTAATAAATAAGATGAAGGGGAAAAGAGTTATATGTTAAAATAAAGGGTAAATGTGATATTTCCACCAAAAAATTACTTATGTAAGTTAATCACTAAACTATAAACTGAACAACCAAATAATGTAATGTTAATGCAACTATTGTGCTTGTATTGTACTGAGGGAACATAAAAAACAATAATTGATGACATAAATAGTAAATACTGCGTTAAATATGTGTATGTTCCGATAAATGATTAGTATGGCCGATTCAATCCACCAAAACCATCTCCCTCCTGCAATAGCACATCATCCTCATTTCAAGAATTTGCCAACTTGAAATTACACATGCATGTTCCCATTGTTACTGAGAAAGTGTTCGAGTTTCAATTCGTGGGTTTTAAACGTGAAATTATTTTGTTTCTATCCAGCTGTCGTTCTTAGATAAACATGCATAATTATAAACAGCCTTATGCATTAAACAGGAACACATCCAATTAGGAGACGAGGACAAATGTTGATGCTTCCAAGGCATATGCAAATGCATGCATGGAGGAGGGAGGGGAAGATGGTAAATAGTGGAATGGGAATCAATTTCCAAGCTTGATCTATAGTTGAGTAGGGCAACAGAGAATCCCATCTCGGGCCCAAATTGGCGGACATGGCTGGAATTTGGAAGCCCCCCCCCCCCCCCCCGGATACTTGATGTAAAACGTAAAGCAGCAATAAGTTGTGAATTGTCCATAAAACCCTTCCGCAAAATGTTCTACTCCCAGCAATTTTGAGTTCCGAATCTCTATCTTATATTTTAGAGATTAATTCCTTATATCATTGTTGATTACTAGCATTCGTTCCATTCCGTTCAATTCATTCTGAGTGCAGTCAATTATAAATTATGTTAATCCAGATTGGACAATTGTTTCAGTTAAAGGATTGCGTGGCGAGTTGGTGGTTCAATCGAAAGTTAACCCAGTCGACCCATTGTATATGAGACAAGATTCAATCTTAATAGCTTGACGTGAATCTAAATCACTTATTTGAACTAGAGTTCACCGAATCTTCCCTTTGAAAAACACCAACCAAAGTTCCACCAAATCTTCCCATTTTAGCAAGAATAAAGATGCAATTTGAACCCAGAAGAATACCACAGACACAATATCGAGACCTAGGTTGGATCGCATTTGGGATCTGGTTCTCGAGCTTGTTCAATTGACTCTCCTCCGTTTCGGTCCGTAAGAAAGCTTTGCTTTGTGAATCAAAAATTAGAGATGGCGACCAGTAGATAAAGTGAGTAAGAGGACGAAGGGAGGTTTGATCCAAATATGGAGGAGAAGTGGCACAATCAATCTCAAGAAAGGTCTTCCTCTCTTTCTTCCCCTACGTCTTCACTCTTCATTGTGTTCTTCACCTCCACCCGTTCATCGCCTCCAGCCACCTCTAGTTCCTTCGATACACTCTTCTTTGTCTTTCCGCTCCTGCGATATGCGTCTCTCACCTCCCCCTCCGATTTACTTCTTAGATCTCTCTCTTGAGTTGTTCTTGGTCGGTTGTGGGGTATTCGCGACGAGGTCAAAGACTTGAAGCAAAGAGAGGTGGGGGCTTGCCGCCTGCGAGCCATGAAGGAGATTGCAACAAAATATTAAAGATGGATCCTGGAAATGTTGGAGGGTGAATTATGGATCTAGCTTTTTGGTCGGTTGAAGAATGGGGTAGCTTGTCTTGCCGCTACAAAGGAGAAATAAATAGCCTTCATTTATTCGGTGTTTTATTGCCATTTTGTGCATGATTCAATTTATAAAACATAATTTGTAGTCTAGATTGCTTGTTTTATTATATCATGTTATCCTAGCTTGCATTTGACGCTACAAGAAAAAAGGGGAGAAAATGGGGCTAATGTGTAGGGAAAAGAAGTGAAAAGGAGTAGACATTAAGACTGCAGTCTAAGGATCAAGATCCCACCCAAGGAAGCCAGCCCGTGATTTCCAGCCAAGAGATCGCAATCCAAGATCTCAAGGAGTGAACTTCAGGAAGAAGCGTAAAAATAGAACATAAACTTTCGCTAGGCGGATCGCAAACCATGTTGAACAAAGTCGCGATAAAGATCGCGACCGCGAGACCATGTTCACGGTCGTAAACTCAGGGCGTGATCCCTCACCCCACAAAGGCCATATGATGAAGCTAAAGTTCGCGGGCCATCGGAGCTAGATCACGACTGTGAACTTTCTACCCTTGGCCGTGAACTTGCCCGAAATCTCTAGAGCCTATAAATAGAGGAGCTGCTGCACTTGGCAGGAGAGTCGATTTTGAGAGAGAAAATTAAGATATATGGCCAGCTTTTGGAGAGAGAAATACATGGGAAAGCTTAATTAAAGATCCAATCCACCCAAGGAGCAGGGAGAAGGTGCAAGCAAGGAGAAGAAGATAGTTTTATCACTTCCCCCTTCTAGTTTGTATTCTCTCTATGATTTGAGTCCCTAAGGTTGTGTGGGGAAGAAGAAGCCTAAGTTGTAGTTTGTTTATGGGTCATGTGTATGAATGATTATGAACCTATAATCTATGTCTATTTGGTGTTTGTTCATAAATTTCTTGCTTAGTGTGATTGATTATACTTAGCTGAGGATTTTGCATAGACACCTCTTAGTGTAGGATTGTTTGTATCATATTTGCTAGTTGCAGCTTAGATAACAGGGGAGTATCATTATGTTACAAATGGGTTTTTGGTGTGATTGAGTTTACCTAGAGTTTGTATACTTCACCTATGATTAATTTAGCTAAGGTAAGTCGTCCAACTCTTCCCCACTAGGCCACAACTGAGTTAACACTAGGTGTGAGTTTTAGGGTTAGACGGGGTAGGGTCAGATGGCCAATTAGGAGTAGGTGAATGATCTAGGAATCTAGTTCGTGGACGAGGCGTCTGTAGATGTCCACCTAGGTGATGCTTGCGGGGTAATGTGTGTGACCATCGGCTTTCCTAACTTGTTTGCGGACTGATAGGATCCGTATAGAGGAGGTAGCGTATACCCCTAGTTAGGTAACTCAATTTTGGTGACATTGGGTTGACTAGCCTAGTTAGGAGGAGGATCAGTGCCATAAATATTGGGTTGATTCCCATCTTAGTGACCTTCGCACCTCAAGACACCATTATATTATCGCATGTATCAATTTATGGTTAGAGGTATTCTATCCTAGGCAACTCTCTCATCTCTAGTGGTCTCCCAACCACTTGGTTAGTTGTTTAAGTAGGTTAGTTTAGGTTATTTCTACCCCCAAGCATCCGAGTTGATTAGATAGTAGTTCATAGAGAATTAATAAGAGTGTGCTTTGTTAGGTTCCCTTGGAATACGATGAGTCACTTTACTACATTACTAGATTAGTTATAAATAGATTTGTTAGGGGCGACTAGAGTGTGCTTTGACTTATAAATTTAAAGCTCGGTCCAACGCATAAAAGAGACTATTGGGAATTGGGAATGGTGAAATCCAACCCGAGATTCATTGGTGTTGGTCCACCCGTCAGGTTTGTCGGGTTTTGAAGAATTCAGGCGATCCCTTAAACGGGTGTGTGGCAACTATTTTTTCCATCGGGTCTAGGCCAATCCGGGTCGACCCCCGGGGTTACAACCTTGATTAAAGTTTTTGACAGTTAACTAGCTAACGAAGTCAATTAATAAATAATAAAATTAAAAACTAATTATTTTAAATTTACACATAATTTCTCCCACTACCACACGAACTGTTTGAACCTAACTGAGTGTAGGAGTGAGG